GGGCTACGCCTCCTGCCTGCTGCCTGGCGCGGGGGCGCGGGCCGAGATCGAGGCGCTGGACGCTAGCCTGGAGGACCTGCTCACCAGGGTGGACGAGTTTGTGGGCATGCTGGACATGCTGCGCGGCGACTCCTCTCACGTAGTCGGCGAGGGCGTGCCTCTCATTTACGCCAAGGCCACCGAGATGCGGCGAGTCTACAGCAAGATCGACCGGCTGGAGGCCTTTGTGGGCATGGTCAGCGCCAGCGTAGCCAGGCTGGAGGAGCAGGTCGCCAGGGCTGAGGCCGAGCTGGGGACGTTCCCCAGTACGTTCAGGAAACTGCTGCACACGATTAACGTTCCCTCGTTTTTCCACAAGGCGCCCTCCGGCAGGTCCCAACTGACCGGCTACGAACCCCCCGTCGTCTTTCGGACAGAAGACCATTTTCCCTGTTGTAGCGAAAGACATCAGGTCTGAGTCTGTCGGACAGCGCTACAAGAGGACAGGTCTGAAATTATCTCGGCTGTTAATCAGATCAGTTGAAATTCCTGTTACCGGACACCTCTGATGTTGGAGTATGAAATTGTAAAGTTTATTTTTTGCACACTTGATTGCTCACTCACCTCATCATTTCACGTGGAATGTGTGGTTTTCTATGTCTTCCAGTTCAAACTTGAAACACGAAAGCTGCTTGGTGGGGGAAACCCGGAAGCAAAATGTATGAACTTACCTGCACACTGTGGCAGAACTGTCATTTTTAGGCATTTTACAGCTCAACTAACAGTATTACCTTTTCAACATTTGTATATTTGCAATACTCTTAGGAAAACTACTGAGCCCTTAAAGCCTTGTTAACTGGAGCCTAACAAATTATTGACCAGAGACGTATTCATACGTCTTTTGTTAACCAGACTATCGCCTGGAGACGGTTCGATATTCTCTTATAGAACAAATCAACGGCCGCAGCTGTTCCTTCCTGCAAAAATCTCCCAATCAACAAGTGCTGATAGTGACTCAGATTTCTATAGCATACTTCAGGGTAGGTTGTAAATTATTTTAAATTATATTAAACTTTCCATATGATGGATTGTAAACCAAAGGAAATTATACAATATTTGAAAAAATGTTTTTATTGCAACTCATTCTGAAGTTGTATTTGAAAGTATAATTCTAGTCTTAATTTGTCCGTGCGTTTGGTTTGTAATTTAAAAATTAATAAAAAGTTTAAATTTTATTGGAAAAGCTTTCTGTCTGAAAAGGACTTTACATGTTTGCCTTTTGTTTGTTCGAAGGTAGACATGTTTTGTATGTAATTTTAGGAGTGGGATAAAGTTCACAGCTTTAGATATTTTTTCTGAAAATGAATATTTAAATCACTTGTGTGATGATTCGACTGCTATTAGGATTTTGTTTTTTCACCCTGAGGACCTAGAATCTTAAACATCCTTTGAAGGGACAGTAGGCTAATCTGTTTTATAAGGTGGTCCTAGCTTGTTGTTGAATCTCTAATTTGTGTGGGACTCTTTTGGTGACCCCATGACTGTAGCCCGCCAGGCTCCTCTGTCCATGGGATTTCCCTGGCAGGAATACTGGAGTGGGCTGCCTTTTCCTCCTCCAGGGAATCATCCTGACCCAGGGATCTAACCTGTGACTCCTGCATTGGCAGGCGGGTTCTTTACCACTGAGCCGCCTGGGAGACCCAGTCCTCCTACGTAATAGTCCTCAAATAAGCATACACCTTGATTGCTTTTGTGTCATAGATCTTTAAGGTTTGTAAAGTAGATATATTCTCACTTAGCTGTGTATTATATGAGAAATTGACTGTGTAATCTTTAACCGTAGCTTTCATGGACCTTCTCTGTCACATATTTACATTTTTTATTCAGATAGTTCACTAATTACAAACTAAGACCTCCTGAATTTAGAAGTGGAAAAGAACAAGTAACCAACATATTGGTGACTGTTGGGTACCTGCTGAAAGTAATTAGTAGAGACTTCCCAGGTGGCGCTAGTGGTAAAGAATTCACCTGCCCATGCAGGAGATATTAGGAGATATGGGTTCAATCCCTGTATCGGAGGAAAATGGCAACCCACTCCAGTATTCTTTCCTGGAGAATCCCATGGACAGAGGAGCTTGGCAGGCTTCAGTCCATGGGGTCATACAGAGTTGGACATGGCTGAAGCGACTTAGCACTGCACATGTGGCATATCCACTGAATATGAAAATAGCCTCCTTACATATCTATTACTAAAATATTTTTTGTTTGTGGTTAATATTAAAAAGTAGTGATTATGGGTGCCTCCAGACGCCGCTGTGCGGGCGAGCGGGGAGCGGAGACCCGGGCTGGGACCGTTCTGACCTGAGGCTCCGGCGGTGCAAGAACATGGGCGCTCATCTGAGCGGTGGCCAGGGCGCCGCGGACCCGTCGCAGCCCCAGCCGCAGCCCCAACCCCAGCCTGCGGCGCCGGAGGGCCCTGCTCGGCCCCGGCCAGAGCCCAGCCCCTGGGGGCCGCTGGACGACGTTCGCTTTCTCATCGCCTGCACCTCCTGGTACTGACTGGCTGCCCTCTGCAGTTAGCACCCGCCGCCTCCTGTCGTCCGGCCCGCTTCTCCTGGTCGGGCCCTTGTCTTTCCCCACCTTTGCCCACCCTGGAGGCGCGCGGAGAGTCGGGGAGCCCGAGGGCGACTGGGAGGAAGCCTCCGCAGCCTGGCCTCGGGGCGCCGTCTTTCCTCCGGCCCTTCCCTCTACCCTGGTTCTGTTCGCTTCTTAGCCTGCACCCAGACTCGCCCAGACCTTCCTGTTCTTGCCCACCCCACAGTTTATCCGGCCGTCTGGGTCCTGGGGCAGGCTTCCCGTCACTGGTTTCCAGAACCAGGTCAGGACTGTTGGTAAGAAGACCCCAAGGCTACTGACCTCACCTCACCTCAGTTTTCCCTATCACCAAGAACTGGGCTCTTGCTTTTGTCTTGGTCATAGCACCTTGTGTCTTGACTTCAGAAAAGACCTTGCCGCAGTGAACCTGCCCATCCATATCTCTTCTGGGAGAGGCGCCATCCTGGGTGTCCACCCTGGCATTATCCGGTTGTATCACTGGGACCCCAGTCACAGAGGGCCTCCAGGGCCAGCCTTTTGGAGAGAGAGGGCATCTGATTTTTGGGGGCTGGCAGATGGGATGTGTGGGGCAGCTCCCAGACACCCCAAAGCATCCTGTCTTCCAGAAGCTTCTTTAGGCCACTCAGAACCTGATCCCTGTTCCAACAGTCCAGGGAAATGACACACTATTTTTGTTTTATTTAGAAGTGATTTAAAAAACATTATACAAAGGCTAATCAGTTTAAAATGTGAGTGACACTGAAATGCTGTGATGTTCCCCAGACTGAGGGGAAGCTGGGCTCTGGGGTCCCCAGTGCTTTGCCCCTCTGTCTGTCTGCCCTGTCCTGGGATGATGGACAAACAGATGACACCAAGGCAGGAGAATCCATGACTGGAAGCCTCCAGGCTGAGCCTTCTCTGGGCCTGGCCCTGCGTCCCTCACATCTGCAGCCTGGGCTGCCTGCCTCCATCTCCTGCTCTTTTTCAGCTGACCTCAGTAGTACCAGGAGCCAGTGGGGAGCCTGGGGGGCCAGCTTTCTCATCGCCTGCACCTCCTGGTACTGACTGGCTGCCCTCTGCAGTTAGCACCCGCCGCCTCCTGTCGTCCGGCCCGCTTCTCCTGGTCGGGCCCTTGTCTTTCCCCACCTTTGCCCACCCTGGAGGCGCGCGGAGAGTCGGGGAGCCCGAGGGCGACTGGGAGGAAGCCTCCGCAGCCTGGCCTCGGGGCGCCGTCTTTCCTCCGGCCCTTCCCTCTACCCTGGTTCTGTTCGCTTCTTAGCCTGCACCCAGACTCGCCCAGACCTTCCTGTTCTTGCCCACCCCACAGTTTATCCGGCCGTCTGGGTCCTGGGGCAGGCTTCCCGTCACTGGTTTCCAGAACCAGGTCAGGACTGTTGGTAAGAAGACCCCAAGGCTACTGACCTCACCTCACCTCAGTTTTCCCTATCACCAAGAACTGGGCTCTTGCTTTTGTCTTGGTCATAGCACCTTGTGTCTTGACTTCAGAAAAGACCTTGCCGCAGTGAACCTGCCCATCCATACCTCTTCTGGGAGAGGCGCCATCCTGGGTGTCCACCCTGGCATTATCCGGTTGTATCACTGGGACCCCAGTCACAGAGGGCCTCCAGGGCCAGCCTTTTGGAGAGAGAGGGCATCTGATTTTTTGGGGCTGGCAGATGAGATGTGTGGGGCAGCTCCCAGACACCCCAAAGCATCCTGTCTTCCAGAAGCTTCTTTAGGCCACTCAGAACCTGATCCCTGTTTCGACAGTCCAGGGAAATGACACACTCTGTATTTTTGTTTTATTTAGAAATGATTTAAAAAACATTATACAAAGGCTGATCAGTTTAAAATGTGACTGACACTGAAATGCTGTGATGTTCCCCAGACTGAGGGGAAGCTGGGCTCTGGGGTCCCCAGTGCTTTGCCCCTCTGTCTGTCTGCCCTGTCCTGGGATGATGGACAAACAGATGACACCAAGGCAGGAGAATCCATGACTGGAAGCCTCCAGGCTGAGCCTTCTCTGGGCCTGGCCCTGCGTCCCTCACATCTGCAGCCTGGGCTGCCTGCCTCCATCTCCTGCTCTTTTTCAGCTGACCTCAGTAGTACCAGGAGCCAGTGGGGAGCCTGGGGGGCCGAGAGCTTTCGCGAAGTGAGAGCACCAACCTGAGGAGTGGAGAGGGACCAGGGAAGGGGAAAGGGAGGCCGAGGAAAGACGGATAAAAGAGACACTTTAGATCTCATCTTGGAACCTGGAGGGGTCCACAGGTGGGGACCCAATGCCCAGCAAGCCCACTAAATGGCCTGGGCAAGTAACAGCCTCTCTGTGCTGTGTTTGAGGGCACAGTGAGAGTTATCCTTGGCCTCCCAAGGACTACATGAATTACATGTGAGTGGACAGGGGTGAGCTAATAAAGTGCAAAGTAAAAAAAAAATAAAAAGTAGTAATTATGACAAATTATAATAATTTTGTGTCTCTTTGGCCACACCTTGCAGGTTTCAGGATCCTAGTTCCCTGACCAGGGATTGAAGTTAAGCCCTCCACAGTGAAAAGGGTGGTATCCTAACCCCTGGACCACCAGGAATCTCAAAAAGTCCTGGTTTGGGAGATAATTGACATCATTATCTGTGCACCTTATCCCCAAAGGACCTCGGGTTCTGAAATCCTCTTCGTCATTTGGTGGTGTTTCTGAGGTTTCCACATAGAAGTTAGTGCAGGGCCTCGTTTGGAATGGGGACTTGAAGCTGGTCTGCATAATGCAGGATAGCTATTAGACCGAGGTTACTTTTGTGTCCAGAATGGAGGCTGGGGAGCCAGACACACCCTGCCCTGCTGGTTCCCTCCTCTCCCCACTCCCACCCCCCGACCATCTGGAGAGCTCAGAGGGCCCTCCTGAATCTTGTAAATCTGATCTTTCTCCTTCTTCCTAAGTCAGCAACAAGTTGAGAGGGAGGCCCCACTGTCACTCCTGGGTAATCCCTGCAGACCATCTCTGCTGCTGGGGTCTAGAGTTTCCTTACTTTCTAGAAGAATCAGGGTTTGGGATGGGGTCTAATAAAGGTTGAGGGGAGTACCCACCAGCCACCTTGGAGTCAATTAACTTGTTCTTCATTCCCACACCCAAGAGCACAGTAACCACTTAGCACGTCCGGAGTACCTGGGGGATGGTCTCACCCATCCCAGGACAGCCTCGGGCATCCAGGAGTCACCCTGGACACACTCATGAAATTGAGTGCTGATAATTCACACATACCAAGTTCACACATGTGAAATGAGGCAGCAAGCACCTTGTCGCTTATCCTCCAAGCCAGGACTTTCAGGAGCACGAGCCTGGGCCCACGTGTGAGGAGAGATGGGTCCGTCGTGAATGTAAGTGTGTGGGTCCTGGAGTCAGCTTGGTGTGGAGCTGCTGACAGCTGGGACGGGGGTCCAGAGAGTCCTTAAAGGGCCAGTGAGAAGAACTACAAGCCACCTGGTCTCAAAACTACTCACTCCATCCTTGTGCAAAAGCAGCCGTGGACAACAGGGAAGCAAACATGCAAGCTGTGTGTAATACATACTTTACTTATAAAAACTTTACTTATAAAAACAGGTTTTTCTTGGGCTTCCCTGGTGGCTCAGTGGTAAAGAATCCACCTGGCAATGCAGGAAACAGGTTCAATC